ATGAAAAACTTGTGAGATTTTGTTAGATTCTTGTCACACCAAAAAATGGCAAATAATTGATTTGCGAAATTTAAATAGAAATTCAAGGATTTTTACAAAATAATCATAAAAGACGTGATACGACTTCAGTCGGAATTGATTTCAAGGCTTATATTGAGAATGAATTGTGAAATTTTTTGAAACTTTATATAAAAAGATAAATCTTTAAGAATATTTTGTCAGTTTTGCAAAAGTTAGCTAAAAGTGATTTTGAGTTTATTTTTTTAAAGTTTGCCTAATAATTGAATTAATAGGTTGCAAATAAAAATGACTTCAAAAAATGTGGCCGCAGTTCTGAAAAAAGTTTTGGACCTTCAGGTGGAGACCATACCTATGCCCGAAAAGCCCGGACCTAACGGTTTGTTTATATCTGAAATATTGTAGAATAATTAATGGTATGTTTCAAAATAAACAGAAGTTTTACTCAAGACCTTATGTGTGGGTTTGTGTGGGTCTGACCATCACTATTGGAAACACGGAAAGATCGCTCATTTTGTGGTCAAAGACCCATTGATCTTAGGCCACGAAACGTGTGCTCTGGTGCTGGAAGTGGGAGAGGGTGTCCATCATCTGAAAGTAGGCGACAGAGTGGCCGTCGAGCCGACTGTGCCCTGTCGTCTCTGCAATTTCTGCAAAACTGGTTCTTATAATCTGTGTCCACACGTCAAGTGGTATATCATTTCAATTCTTTATTAAAACTTATTAATTGTTTATAAATTATAATTATCTATTACAGTATATAATCTAATATAATTTGTACTCTATCGAATATTCTTAAACATTTACTATATTGACGAGGTCAACTATATTCTAGATTTAATATTTTTATAGCTCTATTTAAATTGAAAATCAAACCTAAATTTAACTTTTGTTTATATAAAACTATAAATTGATTACTAATTATATTAATCGTATGAGTGATAAGAATGTGATAAATTTGTTAATAATTAATATACTGATTGATTGCAGTC